CTCTTTATGATTTCAAAATTCTCTAAAATCGCGAGACCAATATTTTATGTCTGCTTCATAATCTTGTGATTAACTAATCTGACAATTTGATCTCCATTTAATATTTTACCACATTCACTCCGTTCATCCGTATCCCATAGCATTGCTGCGCTCTAAATATATAGTATTAGGAAATATCCATAGAATAAAAGTATCAGCATGTATGCGAATGAATTTTCACGCTTGTAATGCTCATTTAACTGTTTGTCTAAATAGCTCTCGTGCGAATAATCTCGAGGGAAATTTAATTAAACTGTTTTTCTTTCATCATCTTAACTCACAGAGCGAACATAAATATTTAACTCCAAATGGAGGGCACAAATATTTGGAGTGACTTTGATAGTGGTAAAGTGAATATAAATTAAAGATGCGTTCGTTTTCTTTCAATCACACAAATACAATCATAATAATCCATGATACATAAATAGGTCACGAATATTGACACTTCCATCATCGTCAATCATTGTCTTATTTGTTGGTTTCCTCACGATTTACTCGCTTTACACATGAGCTTTCCCTCTGACGTCTTTCAGTCCTTCTGTGATGGGTTTTTCACACACTTTTGATGTACGAGTATGTCCGTAATCAACATCACTGATCTGCTTTCACCTTTTCCGTCAATCACACTTTAGCTATCACGAAAGACTTCTTGGATTCAATTAAATCGATTTCGATTGGTCACACCACGCTAGAGGAAATTCACGTCCACTTTCCTTAGATTAGAATAGATACAACACAACTGTTACTACCAATTTTCCACTTTTTATCAGCGCTTTATTTACTAACCCTCGTCCAATATAGATAAGTGAATATCTCGAAAAGTGTTTGTGTTCTTCATATCGCGTGACTGTGGAAGCTCTTCATGGGAGAAATATAAAATTATATATGAGAGTTCTACCGATATGGCAGAATATGGTTTGATATGTAGGGCCTGTTTAAGTGGAGAGGCTCCAGTGAATTTGAGAGTTCTTTATAGGATTATATTCAATCTCAAGTGAAGTATGATAAGAAGAAACAAAAATATCCAGTCAGTATCATTTGATATAGAAATATAGAAAATTGCAATTGCTATTAAAAATCTACGAAGACCAAGAAAAAAAAACACTGAACATTCTTGTATCCAACCGGTTCTTCCTACACTAATTTAATTACATTTTTCCACGGGTGGACAAAATAAAAGAGCACTTTGGCATTTTCCTGCCCCGAAGCCATCCAGATTGAACGAGGCACACGTAGTAAAAGTTCTTGGAGTGTTCAAAAAAGGGAGAGAACAGAATTTTGCAGTGGAATTTAAGTACGAATGAGGATAAAAATTTCTACAAATAAAATTTCAGCCAACATTCCAACATTTTATGTACACCATCAGCGTACCTATCCTATTTTCTCTCCTTCTAATGGAAGCACTTCATTCTTTCATGTGTTGAAAATTCCTATACACGCCACACTCACACACACACAGGATTGAGAAAAAGTGTGGCAAGTTTCTTTCCCAACTCCGAACAGAAATCCTTTTCAATAGATTCAAATAAATGTTCCATACTACAAGAGAACCGATTGAAATTTTCAATTCTCTTTCACATTCGTTTTCCCTCATTGTACATTTCTCATTTCTCCAATCTCTGTGTCTAAAGAGAATCAGAGAAAGATTCTCAATAATGGTTTAATATGAACTGTGTTTTGCTTGAGGAGAAGACGAAGGGCTGCAAGGGGATGATTGTCATTGAGAGAGAGAATGAGCATTGTATAAAATTGAGTGAAAAATACACTAGGAAGTCGTATTATTGGTGTACTTAGTTGATAAAGCGGCGGGAAGGAAAGTCACTTCCCCTTAAATGAGCTCATTTTAGGCGGAGCCTTGGATTTACCTTAGACCGCAAACAGACGCAATGTTCTCTCCATGGGTGGGTGTGAATTTTCATACAAAAAGCCACCCTATTTTTCTTTCACAAAGACAAGATGTCTATTGCGAATGAACAAGAAAAAAGGTCACACCAAATTATGTAAATTAGGAAAGTGGTTGCCTCGAGTAAAAAGAGTTATATTTATGCTTTCGGTGAACTTTCTCCACAACCACCCTGAAGAACGCGAGGAAAGGATTAATGAATGTGTCCTGTCCATTCACTTGAATAAAAATAGTACGCATAATTACGATAACTTGTCACTTGTCTATTTTAGTCAACACAATTCACCCCCAATTCCTAACTTAAACCCTTACTAATCCGTAAGATTTTCAACTTACGCTTCAAATTGCTCATGCAGGGCACAGAGAAAGAAGTCAGAAAACTCATAGACCATTTTCCACTCAAGAAAAGTTAACGCATACACACTCACACATCCACCATGGTGGAAAGTTGGAGGAGTTTATTTGGAAAATTGTGTTTTTATCATGTGTTTTCCATTTGGAAAACCACCCATGCAATTTCCACTGGGTGTGAGATAATAATAAAAAAAGATATGAGAGTGTGTGAGGAGAGCCCCAATTCCTTCTTCTAAGGGTGTGTGGCACACATTTAGCGGGGGTTGAGTGGGAGAAGACAAAAACTTTGTGTGTGACGCACATTGTCTCTCACTTCTTCGGTATTTTCCACGTAATATATGTGTATCGTAAATTTTATTGCGAAAATAGCGTGAAAAATAAATGGGGAGACATAGTCAAATATCAAGTTCGTTTACCCACACGCACTTCCAGCAGTGGAAAAAAAATATATAAAAGATGCCATCCCATGAAAATGTGTGTTGAGACGAGGGGAAACGGGAAAAGTGTCACAGAAGTATTTATTTGAGAATGCAAATAGTCAGATATTTGTCAATTTCTAATCGATGAAGTTCATTTTCGCACAGCAAAGTTGGATTCATTTTGAAAAGATATACATTCGCTTTAGAGAGAAGTTTAATTCACACTATTCAATTATTGTTGCTTAAATTTATCGAGAGGCAGAAATGCCGCGGGTTGAAGAAGAATGCCATTGGCAAAAGAGACAGTGAGGAATGGAGTGAAAAAGACGACGCTGAACCATGTTGAATCGTAACTTTTCCAATTTGCATCAACTTTTCATTCCAATCCAACTCATTCCTCCTCCAGCACACTTTCGGCATTCTTATGCTGCCACCCTCTCTCATATTCACTGTTTCTTTGTCAATTATTCATGGGTGTCTCTCTCGCTCTCGCAAAATATATCACCTCTTCAGCCTTTGCACCTTCACGTGACGCTTCCAATCATCATTCAATGCTCGTACTTGATTCGCGGAAACACCCTTGGAAGTGTGGAAAAAGTTGAGAAGAAGTGACTAAATGACATATTTCGAGACTTTTTTCGACTTCAATTTTATCAATACGCCTTACACATTACAATATACTGTATATAATTCGCCCTTAACATATAACCAGAAGGATCAGACCTTTGTTATATTCACACTATGCTAATTAGGTCTGGGATTACTGTAATCAGGAAGACAAGATGATTTCAAAGCAAACCCGGATGAAAGGACAAAGACAATTTGAGTAAAGATAAGGAAAACTAAACACACCGAATTATACATTGTCTAGTCATTCCAGCTTCAATCGTTATCTAATCGCTATATGGAGGAAATTATTACACTTATCTCACTGCAGAAGATATGACGAATTTCATACTGAAATTGATGTTTCTACAATGAAATTTCTATAAATATTTCTACAAGATTTTCAGAAATTCATTCTACTTGACAAAATAAATCTTCTCCACTTCTAGCATCAATTTGGCATTAAAGCCCCACTCTTGAACATTACCATCTGTACAAACAATCAAAATTACGGAGAAATATTTGAAATTCCAGAGAGGAAAATTGAAAAGCCGAATTTGCACGATATTAGAACATTATTCTGTATTGATGTATTCGAAAGCCTATTTGCACAAATGGTCAAATTGTATTTTACTATTCTATAGTGCAATGCCACTAAAAAGGACCTAATAAAGTAGAAACAATTGGTACGAATCATTACCGCATTCCGATCTAATTACTGAGAATCCAATAGCAAGAAGAGCTCGCAGACATAAGGCTCTCTCTCTCGTGATTACTTTCACGAACGGTCGCTGTATTACAGTGAAGAAAATGTGATAATTCTGACAGGGTGGGGAAATGATAGATGCATCCAGCATGATAATGAAGGACGTGAGATGATTTTTAATAAACCTCCCTTTTCTACAATTAAACAGAACCTGAGCACGAGTGAGTGCGAAGAGATAGCAAAAATAATTCTGTCAAACCGAACTTTGACAGAAGCTGCTGATGAAGTGTTGTAAAATCTTCATGCAAATTTTTATTCACATTTTTTCCGTATGAAAAACCGCAAGGATTGACACAGGAGAGAAATCAATGGGAATTTATGGCCATAAAATGATCCGGAATTATACAGGCAACTTAATTTGGATTGTGACTCGCATTCGTCCTGTGACTTTGTCAGCAAAGAGATACGGATTTTCAGGACGAGATGGAACGGATGAAAATGTGAATTAATAATTCAAAAACTGCATTTCACAGAGTTTTCGGGTTGAATATCATGAAAGGCACGAGAAAAATCGATCGATTTCTACATTGCAATATTTCCGCTATTTCGCTCTCTGCTGTAAAACTGAAATGTTAATTGCAGGCAAATATAGAAACATTTTAATTTACCTACATGTGTACATACATATGTAGTAAGTATTTTGATGAAATTGTTTACGGGTCAAAAGAACACAATTTATGTTATAGAAATAGTGAGCGAATAAACAATCCAATTTCAATGTGCGCATTTTTTTCATTCGTTATTTTTGTTACTTCACCGTGAAGTTCCAGGGAAAAACTAGTGAAAATCTTCCTCCCACTCAACGCCAAATGCAGTTACGGTGGGTGCAGAGTGAAATATAGGGGTGAAATTATTAAGATATGTAAGATAGACGAGTTCAAGGAATGCAAAGTCAATTTCAAAAGGTACTTACAAATTATAATGAACATCAGCCATGTTGGGTCGATGTTTGAGCGCTTCCTGCAGAGCAGCTTTCGCCTCCGCATATCTTCCCTGTGCACTAAGGACACTTCCCAAATTGCCGAGCGCTGCAGAGAGAGAGAAAAGAGAAAGACAAGAAAATATGAATTGTATGCGAAAATTGTAGTCTGAATTGGGGGAGAATTATTACTCCATTGGAACACTTCACCCTCCACTCCCCCAAAACATGGCATCGAAGTTGCAACTGATAGCGCCAAAGTCTCGTGTGAAATTAATGCCACATATAAATTATAATCATTATCGAGAAATGTCATAACTGAATATTGATGAGATGAGGAAGTTGAGACATGGTATATAATATCCCAGCAACACGGCATTAATTATGTATTCATCATAAATAAAACAAAGTGTGCAAAAATGGAGGAGAAAACTTTTGCGGGACTTTTACCCATTTCCAAATATAACTTCAACCACAAAACAGAAAAGCTTTTGGTGAACATTTGGCCAATTGAGAGCATTTTCCAAGTCAACCCATTTTTCTATACAAAAGCACTTGAAGGAAAAATATCCCTCAAAAGTCTTGATAATTGACATTGGAAAAGGTACAAGCTTCTAATGAAGGTTTTTCGCATTTTGCCGCCCCTCCCTTTCGCGTCTATTCATAAAGTCATTGTGAAAAGCCTCCCAAAAAGTTTAACTGCGTTTCAGGCTCATATTTTTACGACGTATATTTTAGAGATGTTCCTATAAAGAAAACTTTTTATGTACAAATATTTTCCATTTCTTATTATACTCTTTCGACCGTTTCCTTTTCTCGCGTACGAATACATAAGATACATAGAAACTTTAATTTTATTTGTTCGGACGCATAAAAATGTAAATAATTTATTGAAGACGTACATATGTGCAAAATAGGTATGCAAATTAAATTCGATTTAGAAAAAAAAAGAAACTCCCTTGATATATTCGACGACACGTTGTAGGAAAATCATGGAGGAATTCTTGAGAAAAGGCTCAGAAATGAGGGTTGGAAAAGGGCAACAAATTAGGAGAAGGAAAATTTAGATTCTTCCAGACGAGTGAGTTCATGTTATTCTTTTGCTTTCCCGAAAGAGAAAGCAAACCAAGTTGAAATTTATTATTTTCCACCATCTCAGTTGAGTGTCGAAGGCAAATGGTGTGAAATTGAAAGAAATGAGTGAAAAAGTCACTGATTTATCAGTTATTCACGGGAATTATTTATTCTCGCGTTCTTCAGTGACAAATCATTTTAAATTCACTTTTTCATTCCTCCGAATATTGCAAAAGAAAATCATAAAAGGGAAAAAACGCGTCTCTCTCATTTCGATAATCAATTTTTTTTTCCCCAGCTGACGAATGAACGAAGGGCCCGAAGCTGAGTTCCATTCAAAATTAATATGAAGCACACTTTCAAATTACAACTCACGTTTCTCACTGTCGTCAGTAAAAACTCCATTTATTGATGAAAAATTTCCGGGAAAATTATTTTATTGAATTCACATTTCTCTTTCATGTCAGTGAAGAAAAAAGTGAATATTCCAAATGGACTTGTTTTTCCGCACTTTGCTGCACTCACAGCTTAGTGGAAATAAGGGTGACTGGATGTGCGGTCATTCGTGGAAGATTCGGTTGAGGATTTTCCAGAGTAGAGACACAGAAGACAGAGTTTAATGTACAAAGTTATAGCAAAACCGAGATAAAATCTTCAAATTAGCTGCTTATTTGCAGCACTTTATCAACAAATTCAGAGATATGTATAAGCGTGCAAGTAGGGGAAAAGTTTAAAGTGCATTTTAATATAAAAAAACAGAGTGAGTTTATGTATTAGGGACCTCACGATGGGGAATATAAGACTTGCAAAATTTTTCAAAGCTTCATAAAACTTTACAGAAACTATACGTAAAACGATACACAATGGAATCTCCAAGCTTTTATGAAATATTTAAAGACAATCATAGTCTAATAAAGTTTTTCAACTGTATATATATACTGTATTCATTTCATACATCTTGCAATTGTTCTATTGTGTAAATAGTTGGGTATTTGCACAGGATCGCACGTACTGATTATACAATTTGAATATGGGAGGATGAAATAAACACAATTCCATTGTGGGGGAATGCACACTTCAAAACCTCCTTGGCGCATAAATTTTCTACGAAACAATGAATTTTCCGATTGGAAATATTCATGAAGTAGGAGCACTTCTCTCATAGTAAAATATATGGACCCGTGAAATACTATAAATTTTATTCTCACCGTTGATAAACCAAAATGAGATGTCATAGAAAATTCGCATGTGAGTCCGAGAGATGCATAAATAATTTTTGAAAATCATCTCATTAATGTGTTATCAACAGACACTGTATAGAGAGTGGAGTTCGAAAAGTTTAATGGAGTGAGTTTGTGTTCACAAATATTATCTCACACAATATTGTTGTTTCACGTGAAGTCAATTGAAAAAAACACCCTTATTATGCGGAAAATTCCCTATAGAAGTGTACCTAATGTTAATTTCCTCCGTTGTTTTGGAACAACTTCATAACAACATTTGATATTAAGTGAGCGTTAGTGATGTTGAAATGCAAATGATAGTGACAACCTGTGGTGTGTATCAATTGAAATTAAATTGCCATAGACGTGTGTAAAATTACACCATTTAAATGCAAATTGCATTTCACAATCTCTTCATACTATATGTATGGTGACGACAGTTCAATTAACATTTAAGCTCCGACACAAACTATTATGCCACGGAAGGGTCCACTATCGGAATGGCAAACCTCCCCATCAGCGTGACGGGAAAGAATACGATGAGTTTGGAGTGTGCTGAGTGTCATAAAACTTTACACCTCCAATCAATTTTCACCCAAGATAAGGCACACTCAATAATTTTTTCTTCACTCCATTGGAGATAAAAGGGAAATCTATAGCGAAAATCCCAAGCCATCGAATGTTAAATGATATATTGCTCAACCAGTATGGTTGCCTTCACCCTCAGAAGCCACCCCAATCCGGCAAGGGAAGAAAAAAGGGAATCCCAGCAAACCACCAAACTCGAGGAAATCTTCTGACTCTGCAGATGAATTTACACACAGCATACAAGTGGCATGTTTTATGTACTCCTCTTTTTGCCACGAGAAACTCGCAATCCTCAGGAGTTTTTATCGCATCAGGAGCGATTGGAATAGAGGTGCAAGGGACGATCTGAAAACCCACACCGATTTCAATAATTCACTCAACCCAGTCGAAGGGGATTCAGATACAGACCGTTGATGCTCTCCGGCAATATCCAATTCTTCTTTCAAAATTCATCCTTCTCAGTCGTTCTCACGCTGTAGTCAACAAATTTCAATCAAGTGCCACCATAAGTCACGAATTAATACAAATTTAACCACCCACAGCTTCTTGAAAGGATTTTGCAGTGTCTTCAAACTCATCGAAGCAAGAAGTATACTGCAAATATAATTTACAGGACTCACTCTCTGGAGAAATGTGAAGAAAAACAAGCCATATAAGAATGCTGGGAATAAAAATAGGTCTCACGAAGCTGCATTCGCAAAACAAACACTGCATCTTGCTAACCTAATAAATATGTTCCGTATTATTACATGTTTTGTTGACATCGTAATTTCTCCGACTTTTCCCATCATGCCGTGGCGAAAATATTTACAAGAGTATAGGAATTTTTTCCTGCGAGCAAATTCTTATCTTCTTTCATTCAGAAATGAAACCTGATCCATTATACCCACGTATATAATCTCGGAAATACTATACACCATTGCTGTAGATATAGCGTTCTATACGTAGCATAGCATGATTGAAACATGGGACTCGTAACTTATGCGGGGGAGTAAAAAGCCGAATATAAAAAAACGAGGGAACGAAGCGAAACCACGAGTTCATGTACAATCGAAGAATGGATATGCTTATTAATAAGGAATAAGCAAAAAATGTTGGCAAGATATCTGTTGATTTTATACAAATTTTCCTCCATCGAAAAATTTATAGAGTGGAAAATTCATCAATTATTCTGAACAATTTTTTTTTCATGCCATTCACAGTTGGAAAAAAAGAATTCATTGAGGGGCAAAAACTGCCAAATAGACTCTATTTCTCTCACGTACTTCCTACAATTTTCCTTGCGCATTCCTCGCCCATCTTTCGTCTTTTTGCCCTCTTCTTCTCCTTTTGCCCATAAAAAAATGTCAACATTCTCACGACACGAGTGATGATAGCCACCTAGAGTCTAGACACGAAGGACAAAATGAGAACATTGTTAATCAGATATGCGGATTACAAATGAAAAATCATAAATTCATATATACGTCACAATAATTAGCTTGGGGTGAGAGTGAGGCGAGAAAGTCAAGAGGAAAAATGTTTTGTTGGAAAATATCACGCGATTGCCATCCACTTGTTTTTCCAACCAACCCCATACACACTCTTTTCACCACAAATGCCAGCCGTGCTATCTGGGATTAGTCACTGCACAAAACCTGAACCCCCGGCGAAATCCTCGAAAAACTACAGCAACATGTTGTATAGCAACATGCATTTTAAATGCTAAAGTTACGCAGTTTTAATGATAAAGCAAAGTCTAGAATAGGAATAAAAGTTTTTCACTGAAATTCTAGGCATGAATGATTAACAAGATTGCCTTTGGCGTTAAACAACCCCCAAGACGTGCTCCTTGGCAGCCGAATAGAGTTGTTAAACTATTAAAAACTACATAAAATTGTACTTAATTGCTTAATAAAAGTGTTACTGCAAAAACCGCCTAATTGTGGTGAAGCATAAAATTTCTATCGTGACAGCTGACCTCTTACTCATTCACACACACACACACACACGTGACAGGAAGGAGAACAGGTGCGAGGGTGGCGAAAAAGCACGTGTAATAAAAAGAGAACATTGAGCAGCGCATGGAGAAAATTCACCTGTGTGTAATCACAAGCTGTTTATCACTCACAAATTACCCATGTATGACCATCCATCGAACTATATAGCGTCATGTTTGGCGATAGCTGTGCTGCAAAAGTACCCGTCGCATAAATAACACATATGGGAAGCTTTGTAGAAAAGCACAAAATACCATCCAACAATTTATATTAATTTAATAATAATGCATTTGTGTAGGGGATGTTGGTGTGCAAAATTTAATATACCACTTAATTTGCATAAACATTTGATATTTACGACATACACACACACATTGTATTGTGAATACTTTCCGCCCCCTTTGTGTAGTCATGCGTCAACAAAAGTTTCACCCACGGAAAACGCTCTCTCACCTCATGACCTTTCACTTCTTCGTCATATGATGCCGAGGGAAATCCAATTAGGAGCTTTTTTGCACGTCTATTGACGCCAGATGCGAATTTATTGAAAGCGCACGTCGCGTCGAGTGGATGCAATACATGTACTTAGCAACAACACGCCTCACTCCCACATTGTTCTTGTACAGTTTGAAAATTATAGCTTTTTCACTGATTTAATTAAGAAAGTTTTTTTGTTGTTGTAAAAACAACAATATTATCGAAAAGTCGACTTGCGGCACTACAATTACTCATAAAAGCAAAACATGCTCTATGCAGAATTAAAGAAGAGCCCAACAATACGTATTGTTTACTAAAATATTGCTCATTTCCCTTACACAAAGTTTTGATTCACACACTAAACATACTTTCCAACGATCTCCATACTTCTGAAATGACACAATTTTCTGAAACTCTAGATGTGGACTTTTAAAAGCTTGTGTCTATTTTAGAAGGAAACAAAATCACACGGAGCTTTGCTCATTTGCTCACTATAATAATATTATTTTGCATTTTAGTACGATTTCCAGTGCAAGCGGAAGCCTTCACCCGATATTCCTGTCATTCACAAATTTGTCTGTGTGTGTGTGTGAGTATTTATCTACAGCTAAAGTGGGAAATGTTTGTTGAAATGAAAATACTTTTTGCTAATTAAAAGTCAGACTCTCTCTCTTCCCATCATCCTTTTCTATATCAATTCCACAGAGAGTCGTGAGTGAAATTCCATGTGACGTTATTTTTGTTCACAATTGAATTAGGTACTTTCAATTATATAAATCAATTAGTAGTTGCGAGAAAATTCCCCGTGAGCAAAAATGAAACTAACTTTTGCACACTATAGAAATCAATATTTTCACCCAACTTCACAAGTCACCAGTGACAACATTTTGCAGTTCAGCTGTGAAAAATTAAAGAAACTTAATCGTTGATCCAATTGTTTGAGCTAATTTTGCGGGTAGAGATTTTTTTTTACTCTTCGCCATCTCCCATGGCGCTATCCAAGGAGAAAAAAACCCGCGGTGCCTTGAAAAAATATTTACAACAAATTTTTGTTGTCTCTTAACCACACTTTAACTCCACCCTCGCGGGAAAAACTTGGGACTCATTTCCCACCATCACCGCGGAAAGATGAGGTCGACTGGGAAAGTAATTAATCCCATGTTAAAATACTTTGAACATTTTTTTTCTCATACTTCCGCGTAAATATCTCTGGGAAATTCATGAGGAAGTTTCGCGTGGAAAAAGGGAAAAGTGAGGCGGGAATTTCAATGGGGACTCTCTAAGGGAGTGAATTGAGTAGGTGACCTACGGAGAATCTATAAAATAAATAAAATCTCTTACCTTCACTTTGTGCTAATTAATAACCATAAAAAGTGGGCGGAAAAAGTGATACTTTGTGTGAAGAGGAAACTTGAGGGAAAAAACCTCGGCCCTTAATGGAAAATTTGAATTTTTTCACCATCCCTCTTATGCTTTATTCGGACATCATTTCACAGTTCTTGGAATTCACCAGGAAAAAAGAGTGGAAGGGAGTGAAAAAATATGTGGGGAAAGTAAAGTAATTAAAAGTCATTAAACATCATCCAGCATTTTTATGTTGCTCCTCTTATAATTCATCATTAAAAATTCCTTTGCCACTTTCTACTTGTCAGATTACTCTCGAAAAGACGAGATTATTGAAAGATAGATTATTTCAATTAAATGAAACAACATAAATCGCCATCCAGGATTGCCACAATAAATTAATAATAGAAGCACATTCGCAGTCAGTATTGGTCTGGAATTGAGGTCGGATGGCGAATGAAAAGCGGGTTGTGAGTCAGTGACTGGAAGACCGTGAGACGACCTTAATTGTATTTAATAGGGAAATTAGCGTTACAATAAACTCTATAAGATGCACGCGATAGAAGGAAATCTTCCACTAATGACTTTTACCATTTTTTGTTTCCTTTCTCCCCGAACATCCGTTATGTAGAACTTTCCCTCCTATACTGAGTACAGAAAGCATCTCAATAAGCTTTTATTGCATCACATTTAGTCCCTGAACAAACTATCGCGCGCATTTAATCCCACACAAGAGGCAATCAAGGTGGATTGAGGAAAGGGAAGTGGAAGCATGAAATAGAAAAATTATTACTTCTTCTGGTCTATGAATTCGCCTAATTTCGCCTCATAAGCCAAAAACTCTCCTTGAGCTCGCACACTCCCCATGAGTGCTCACGTGGAGGGAGTATGCGGATGTATGTAAAACCACCATATGTTGTCGTTGAAAATGTATAAAGCATACAAACAAACTGGAAGGACCATTAAGTTTATGTAATAATGGTGCAAAAGGATAAACACAAAACACATTTTATTCACCATCAAAAGCTTTTTATAACCCACCTTCTGTGCAAAATATATACACTTACGCCCACACTCTCCTCTCTAAAAACCCATTACAACTGATTCCCTCAACCGATCCCAGACTTTTCTCCAAAAAAAAAACCCATAGTAAAAACGACATCCTGTGAGAGTGATCCAGCAAATTCACAATAACAATGTTTTGAGGCTACAATATATGTAATTCATGTGCACCAAACCCTTTCACAGAACATGAAATATGCAGTTAAAAGCACTACTTTTGATGTACAATGAATCATAATATGGTTTTAGAATGCAGCAAACCTCCAGCACAATTTATTGGAAATTCCACAAGCATATGTAGTCAATGAAATTTATAACGATATCTTGGGATATTGAGTAACTTTGTCCGTGAAGTTTAATCTATGCATTTAATTACGTATCGCCCCAAAGTTGACATTCATAAAGTAGAAGCAATACATTTCACCGGTTTGCTTTTGACTTGCAAAGCGAATCTCCCAGCTTTCACCCTTGGCACCAGTCCATTAAGTTTAATGCTGATATTCACAATTCAGCAAATGGCATCATCGTAATCCCCAAAGTTGAATTTCTGCTTACCTTTTGGTGGAATCACATCGATTGCACTGCGATAGAGGCTCTCCTCGTTGCGCCAGTCAAAATTTCTGATTACTGTCCTAAAGCAAAAGACACTGAGTACCACAAGTATAAACACAGTCACTGTAATTCGTTGTCTCTGCTGCTCACGAATGCGCGACGCGGCACTCCTCTTGCGCGGCACAGTGGTGGGCGCCGAGCTGGGCGCCGCGGCGTCGAGGATGTGGCCAGCGGCGAGCCCCGCCAGGAGGCAGGCGCCCACGCTGGGCAGATATAGGATGCGCTCGGCCACCACGAAGCCCACGTAGAAAAAAAGATTGGTGGCGGGCAGGAAGGGCAACACCAGCAGCGCCACGGCCATGAGGACAGCAAGGCTTGGCCGCGGAGGAGCGACACGGCTAGTATCTGCGGGCGTGGGACAGGCGCACGGCACGACGGGAATGTTGTTATTGTTTATGGCCCGACACGAGCTGGAGTGGCGCACATTCAGGGCCTGTTTGCACACCGCGCACACACAGTCAGTCTTCGTAGCGGCTAAGGGCGCCAGCTTCTTGCGCGGCGTTCGAGCCTTTCGCCGGTGTGTCGTCACGGCCACAGGCGAGTTAGCCTGCGCCAGGACACTTCGTGCGCAGCGCCAGATTGTGTGACTCAGCGTGGCGTAGAAGCCACCCGTGAGGATGACTCGCGGATCGAGGATGCTGGTGATCCGCGGTATCGCCTCCATGCCCCAGTCAAAGCTGAGCGTCGTGGGCAGCAGCAACAGGCGGAAGTTGAACACGGGCAGGTAGCTGAAGGTGAGGAAGCGTGTCCAAACGGAAGCCACTTTGGCCGTTGGATTGTCCGCCAAGGCGAACTGCGTCGTGGGTGTGGGCAATCGCAGTCGCAGATGCACAATGCTGGCCAGCACAACAGTCAGGAACACCAGCGATCGCATGCGATTCTGCAAGATGCAAAGACATTTTGCGTGAAATCTCCAATCGCGCAACTTTCCCCACCGTGAACAATAAGACATGAGCATTATCATAACGCCCCGCAGAATCCAGCCGTGAGCATTACACTCCCCTATTTTCCTGCTAATTCACAACTCAATAGAAATTACTTCCGCCACTTATTCCATGTGCCCTCGCGGCGATCACAATACATACTATTTGTACGCATTTGCGATTCGCAGCCCCGAGGCGCATAAATTCACAACTCCGCTGATCCCCTGTCTGCCAGCAGTGCGCTAATAATTTATCAGAGCACTTTCTAGAAAGTCCTTCCGCGCTTAAAGAGGAAGGTTGGGAGCAACATAAAAATGCTCACAGGGAAATTATGAGTTACAAGCTCACCACACGTCAAACCAGGCAGAAAGATTTAAAGGGTGGGACGCGAGAACGACAGACTGGCGAAAAGGGGAAAAGCGAATTAAATACTCGAAAAACAGCAAGAAGGGAAATTTACCGTCATGTGATGAATGTCTTTAGCACATCATTTTCCACTTAAACCACCACCCACCCGCCACTCAAGCCCATCGGGGAGTGAATGCAAAAGTCATGTAACGCAACATCTCTTATAGTTGCTGCCATTCCTGCTAACATGAGGGTTTCACATATTTTATGTGTGAATGCTGCCGCTCGTTTGAGGCATTATGAGAACACGGAACAATATTGAAGATGAACCATCGTGGCTAAGGATATTTTAAAGTTCGTATGAAACTAAAACATCGCATCAGCAATTTTTCACTTGGCACTTTTCGAATGAATAGACTCAGGAAAATTATAGTGCCGGATTTAAGATTCTCCCTTATACTTCATATATTTGTGCAGAAGCTCAGTCTCGCAAGATTGTTTGTCTGACGGCAAACTGCAAAAAGCTCAGAGTGCTATAAATAACACAATATTTCCGGTGTATATCAAAAAATTTGCCTGAACAAACCATCCGCCCTTCCCGCAACCTCAAACAGGAGATGGATATCAATGGCTCCAGCCATCCTCGAGGGGAGTGTCACGTGAGGTTGCGAGAGAAAGTTGCATTAGGAGCAAAAGTGAGGATAATAGAGTCTCAAAGTCGTGGTGTGTGGCTCAAATGCGATAAGGGATGAGCAATTAGGTGGTGTGGCTTTTGTTTATTATTATTTGCTGTGCGAAGAGATACACATTGCAGGGGAGCGAGAATGGGGAGACGTTCTTGAGGAGGAATGATGCTAAAAGTCTCTCAAGATTTTCAATGGAGGTCATTGCCGTGGCAACTAAAACACCCTTTTGATTTATTTGCCTTGAAAAAGGATTCTCACACTCACACCCGCACAGCCTGGATTTACTCTCCTCCAGAAATGCCGTCTTCGGGGAGCTACAAAACCACGGACTCTCAGAGATGGGGGCATCCTCTCCCTCTCCCCTCACCCTCATTCACCGTCAACTCGGGCATTATATGAGCAAAATTTGCCTTCCATATTCATATTATGGGACTACCATGGAAATTGCCAAGCACCCGTGGGGGAAATTGCCAACTGGTACAAGTGATTTGACCTGTTGTTGCGGACTATAAAGGCACCATTAAAACTTGGACTGGACAAAACTGTCATGCAAGAAATCTCTTCAAGATTATGGTTCGCACATTTCCCACAGATATTCATCCCTGTGGATTGTCTTCTCTACGTGACGTTTTTTGCCATTCACATGTCAAACATGACTTCAGGATAATTACGTCATTTGTATAAATTAGTTAACATCCTCAATTTGGTGGCAATATACACAGATTGTCAAATGAAATGAGCAAATATTGACAGAAATCTTTCGAAATAGAGCAGCACTAAAAATTTTCATACAATATACCACGTGCCCGAGCCACGTCACATTTATCTCTCTTTTTTTTCTGGGCATTCAAAAATAAAATCCCATGACATCAAACAAATGAACGGGAAATTGCATGGCGGAAAATGTTGGGTTACATGGTGAAAGTGGACTTGCGATACATCAATAAAATTTCATTAAAAAATCGAAACTCCATCCAAAAGCGAAGGTGAGAGAATATAAAAATATATACAGTACACACTCACACACAGGTGAAGAGAGAAAATCAAATCATGGAGCTTCATTTTATACCCCCAAAAAACCCCTCCATGTACTTTTTCAATGAATGGTTGAGTGGGTTTTAAAAATTCACTCCCACTTTGTTCCTCCGGCGTGTCTGTGTGTCCCTGAGTAATAAACTTTGATGGTAGAATGTGGCATCGAGAGCTTAACTGGAACACATTTATGGAGCACCACAGAGTTATATACGTTACATACATAATATTGGAATGAGGAGCATCATCATGATTATAATGGTTCCTCTTCGTGGTCGTGACTGACTCACAAAGTGCTCCTTCCTCCTCATGATGTTGTATTTGCTATAAAATTTGCCCTTTGATCTCTCGCTCACCCCGTCTCAGAGCGCCCCTTTTTTCAACTCTCGCACACACCCCGCAAGATTCTGGGTGTCGAGGATGCCGGCGAATTGGGAATCATGTTGTGTTGCACGGAACAAAAACAGAAACATCAAATATAATTGGTTTTCCCGAACAACGCCCAGCACATGTTGAATTCTATCCCACTCTCCGTCCGTGTGGCGCAAAGACCTCTTGTCCAACCGACCCGCCAACCCTCCACAGCGCCATGCTGTCCACTTCTTGACCCCACCATATACAGTATCTCAAATTAAACTGCGTAAGCGTGCAAAGGGGTGATTTTTCCAGCACATCATTTCATATATAGAGAGAGAGACAGAATTGCAGCGAGATGTGATTTTTCTTCGGTAAATAACAATTGAAAGCGACACTGAATCTCAACAAATTTCTTTGCAGTCGATTCAGCGTGTTAGATAATCTGAAAATCGATCCTCCAGCGGAACAGCAACAGATAACGTGTTTATTGCTTTTCACAAGTATTATCGTCTCTGATAATGTTTTGTATCATTAAACAAATTGAATCGAAAGCACATCCAATATTGAGCTCTTCCGCCCCGTTTTCGTCACTTTTTCCACCCCGTCTTCATTCGCCTCACACTTCCCACCTCCTCTGCTGGCACAAATGAAAATCGATAGAGGGAGAAAACATGACGGACGGGAAAAATTATCAATTGATGCTGCGAGGCATCCCATTGCTGATTCTCATTCCACGTGTGTGTGCCAATATAGAGCTTCAACAATGGTCCACAGAGAAGTCCTCTTTGCCCACCTCTTCACGTGTTCCACTTGCCACTATACATGCCTTACATATTCACTACCAATTCTATTTGTTCTCCCAATTCAGTTTACAGGAAATCTGTCACGGGCTTTGAGAGAAAACTTTTAAATAGATCAAATCTATCAACGATCCGTTTCTCCTGATTTTATATTCAATCTCTCCCTCTCTCTCCCTTTTGCTCTCTCTTTTTCTGCCAAACTACGATAAAATATTGGGGGAGAAATAAAATAGGAACAGAACAAGAGAACATTACCAAGAATGGGATTATTGGGTGAACTTCTTTTGTGAATTTATAATAAAGATTTCGAGAGGGTGGAAGAAGATGCTCCGAAGTAAAGTCTACAGATTTATGTACTAACATTTTATGTATTTCTTTTCGACTTCTTCTCCACCAAACTTATCCATTGCGTATTGAGAAATATCTGATGGTGAGATTCCATTGCTAAACTTTGTCCTTAGCCATGTTGTGAGAGTGAAAAATTTATGTCTCTACTCCTAGGTCAATGAATTCTGCCTCTCCCAGCATAAGCACCCAGAATACTTGGTGCTCCGTTTCATTCTCTTTCACTGAGAAAAACTTGTGTTTTAATACCAATTTGTCTCTTTCGATCCCTTCTGCACAACTTGTTCAAATTCACATTAAATGACCAGCAAATGGCAATCCAATGGAGGGCAAAGTGAAATTGGACGCTAATTCTTTTCTCATATATCACAAGAAAAGGTCAATTCATCAGAAACATGCCAAGGGCAATACGATAGCATGAATTCCTTGAAATATGTATTGTATAATAAGTATAAAATAATCTTCGAACACGTATTTCTCTGCTCAAAGAAGCGTCCAAATAAACACATGGCAAATGCCAATCAGTAAGTCTGAGAAAATGCAATAGAAATTAGCATCTTTTCCGCACGAGATCACATTTCATGAATTACTTACACCGTCGTGCGAAGTTGATTTTTAAGATTCACACTCAGAACTTCAATCCCACAGAATCTCTTCAGCCAGCAAAGCCAGACTTTTGGCAATGAATTATGATGCACAGGAGCCAGAAGCAGAGGGAAAACGCAATTTTGAGATCAATTTCGGAGACAAGTGAAACTTCATGGAAGTGGGATAAACACGTGGGAGTAGATCATGGCATCTCATTTGCCCTCCCGAGACTCACTTAAATGGACTCAACAGGGCTCGCATGGAAGTGGGTGAGTTTCTAGACAAATTGGAAGCACGTAGCTCACTTGTGTTCCCTCCAGTACCGTGTCTACCCATTCGCCACGGCGAATTTTATCATGGGAAATGAAGCAAATTAGTTTCTGTACGTGGTCGGGAGGTCAATAGTTTAACCCAGACCGCACTCATGGAAAAGAGTAGGACCACGGACTCCGCATAATGGCCACTGATCAAAGCTGTGTTGCGTCCGAGGAACGTGTCGAGAGAAATTAAGGATCAACAGCAGTTGTGAAACAGCAGACGAAAACCTATTTACGGGCATTATTGCTCTGGTCTATGTCCCCAAACATCTGGTCTAGACTAGATTACGACTGGAGAATGTGTCTTACCTTATCGTGGAATCCCGACACAGCCTTCAGGATGTCGTACAGGGCGCAGAGCACCAGGGCTGTGATGGCCGTTTCTTTGGACAGGATCGCCAGACTGGCGGCCGCGAAGGACGCGAGGAGAGCCAGCCAACTCCTCTGATCGTCCCTCTCTCGCCACTCCATGTGCTGCATGTACGCGAGGAGGCTGACCAGGTAGAAGATGCACGCCACCACGTCCGCCCGGCCCACCACGCTGGCCACCGCCTCGGTGTGAATGGGGTGCGCGGCGAACAGGACTCCGGCCACGGCCGCGCCCCATCCGGACGTCATGAGCTGCCGCGCCAGCTTCAACACCAGACCCGTGGCCACGGCGTGCAGCAGCACGTTGGTGAGGTGGAAGCCGAAGGGCCGGAATCCCGACAGCAGGTGATTCAGCCGGAAGCTCAGCACGCACAGCGGCCTGAAGGAGCCGTGCGAGCCCGAATCCGTGAGCGGCGTGCCCCAGAAGTCATTGTCCAGCATCTGTCGCCACGGTGTCGATGTCAGCACGTCCGGATTACCCAGCACGGCTCGCCTGTGTGGAGAGACACCATTAGATTAAAATACCTCGCTATGAATTCATCTCACTCGGCGACGCACAAAAAAGCCATCAATGGAAATGGCAGAAATTGCATTTGTCGCATATATTGTACACGTCAAAGACTCTTCCTCGCCAAACACTCAACTCTCGTGAAAGCATCAATTTAATCCTGTTGAAGATTTTCTCCCCCGCCCCGCCAGTGAATGTGTTTCTCGCGCCACTGTATGACATCTCTTGTGCACACACAGAGCATGACAAAATGCAATGCTGAACAACAACTACAAAAGTATGTGCATTTTTGCCAAGCTTCATGCCACTATCCTCGTCATTTTCGCACGTCTCATCACATTATGTATTCCTTCACTGTCCCGGAAGTGGAAGTGAAATGCATCGTCATTTTCTGGAATGCCAGAAGAGCCCTATTTGAGCTCCCAGTGTTTCAGCGACGTGTAAAAATATCTGCACTTCACTTAATTTGCGATTTTATCCAAAGATATTCTAAACGAATAGAAATTTTCATGTATTCTGTGAATATTGAGAACAAAGAACCTCGAAAAAAGCATAAATCGTTAGTTTAGAATTCGATCAATTAGCTGTGTTTATTTTCGTGCATTGAAGTGTAATTGAGTTGAGTAAAGAAGTAATTTTGTGCCCCTCAACTTGCGAGTGTTTTGAGCTTTTCATGAGCAGTAATGATCCTTATCAACCCTTGCAGAGGTCAAAGGTGATCGTTCTCTCCGCCATATCAATTCCGCATAAAGATTAATTTCGCAATGCGTGATTACACATTTGTGTAGTTAAATAAGAGGCGATGAAGCACTATCATTAAATGAAATTATAAACGCTGCACAGACTTGCGGAAATTGTTAAATTGGCAAATAGAGAGAGGCGAGTGTGATCAATATTTACAAAATAATATAAAATTAGTATGGTTTGCGTAATTGCGTATTTATTTTTAAAATGAAGCTTTCATCTATGAAAATTTGCTTTCAATTATCCTCCGCTCGGAAATTCATATATCCTCTCTGTGAATTTACCAAGTGAAATCCTTTCAGTACATTAATAGTCACACTGTATAATCAAATGCAAATGTGGACTTAAATTAAATGTTTGAATTAAGATAATTAAGTGAATGGATTTTACTGTGGTAAAGATTACCCTAAGTGAATCCATCATCCACAGTCCTCACGATGAGAGTTTGGACAGCGACAAAATGTATCAATACAAGCAATGTTGCCACATCCGAATTGATTAATCACGACGAGACTGGAACTAAACACACCAAATAATCAGATAAATGTGGAATTCACTTGAAATCTCCCTGAGCTCGATGTGGAGCCGTCTGAGAAAAAGAAGACAGAGAGAGAGAGGAATCTAGTGGGGTGGGCCAGAGTGGGCGGTGTTGAAGTGTTTTGCACTGGGGGCAGGTGAGAAATTCAACTCTTGTTCAACAGTAAATGAATCAACATGTTCCGGATGAGATAATCCGTTAGGAATGGAATCATCTTACACTGAGATCTCTCCGCACGCCTCGAGAAGTCTCTTCCCAATTCCGTTCACTCGCCGGGCTTTTCTTTCCTTTCAGCACTCGAGGCATGGTCAAGGAGGGAGGCGCCAGTGGGTGGAGTGTATCTCGTAAATTGTGTCACAAACACATGTCATCGTCACATCGTCAAGTTCATAATTAACTCTCTAACATCATGCAACATCTTCTTGTTACCTGACGCATTCACACAACACGTCGGGCGTTCAAGGAAGTTGCAAAGGTGGCATGGGTGTGTGACACATCAATTATTTCACGCATATTGCATCAAGTGCACCCCAACAGAGCGTTCTTGGCAGGTGACGACAGGTAAACATGAAAACCTCATGAGAGAGATACAAAAGACAGCAAATTAATTAATTCTAACCCTCCCTTGGGGATTTTTTGCTCTCTTTCTCTGCTATCCATTTCGCTTTCTCAATGCCTCCATGAAAATTAATCCCATTTATGGAGAGTGAAGAAATACCCCAACTCTGCGGCCACGCAGAACAATAAAACACAAATAACATGAATGAGTGAAGGGGGACAATAGGAAGAAGAAACGCTCAATCCACAAGTGGTTCCCACCAACTTCAATAATTGATGTTTATTACCAAGAGAAGAGACAGAAATACAGCAAATTGAGAAAATTTGCCGCTCCATCGTCTATTTGGCAAGATTTTTTTCCAATAATAAATTCAGCAAAAGTGCAATCAAACAAGAAAAGGGCCCAAGGATAAGCTCCTTGCTGACCTTATTTAGAAGCTCATGCAGATAATTCAAGAGGAAGTAATTGTAATATCTCAAAATTTTCTTCACAGTCTTCCCTCAATCAGCAGAACAATTTGCCCGACTGTCGATTTGGCTACTCCCACACTTTCGGCTATCTCCTGGGATTATACATAATACATATATACGGTTAAGATGAATTATCTCCGTTTAGTGTGACACAAGCAGCTGAGGGATGCAATTAGTTACAGTCAATGGTCAACTCACTTAGCCTCCAAGATTTCTTCTTCCCCTGAACTGATTGTTGAACGAGGGGATGGAACAAGTACGGTGTCACATTGATCTAATAGAAAATAATGAACAACATATTGATTTATATGTATGTGCTGAATCACGGTGCCATTCCTTCAGATATTTCTCCCCAGGACAGCAAAATTGATCAATGTATGTCAGTTGAGGAAGAAATAGAAGAGAAACTCTTACGTTGGGTGTTGAGAACTTTCCTGACAATAGCCTGAATTGTCAAGAGTGTTTTCGCACTTTCAAACTACTTATATTCTCCATTTTATACTTTAGCCCGAGAACACTTGAGAAAGTCAGCCAACATGATATTGTATGTACAAAATCAATATTTTGTAGCTTTAAAGGCATGAAATAAAAATTCATCTTAGAGATCTCAGAAATTATTCACTTCTTGTGTTTTAGTGAAATAAATGCTTAATTTATCCATTAGCCTGAGGCGAGCTTAAAACTTTCTCCTTCACAGCAACATTCGTCCAACAACAGAGGATTAACGCTCAAACGCACTCTGTTATGTTTTCTGTTTGGAGCTTTGTGGCGTAAAAACAAAGTCTCGTGAGCTTTTTTTTCTTCTCCTAACCTCGTCGCTCACCGGCAGCGCCACAGCGACATAAAATTTCACAGGATTTCCTTTCCGACGCTTCGGAAAAGTTTGCAAAACTTTATGCGCTTTCATTTCATCCCGCCCACGCAGAAGCTTTCTTTTCTCCTCTGTATCATTCAACCTCGAACTTCTTTCACTTTTTTTTTCACAGTCAATAATCTCAATGGCGGGACGACGGAAAAGATAACAGTTTAAATTGATAAATTTTTAGTTATGGATTAAATCGAATCCCTTTTGATGCCATCCCACAATTTCATCTCCTCGCGCGATGCTCGCCATTGCGCTCCATCTCTTCAATCGCAATGGAGTGAGAACATTCATCAATAAAAAGGCATCAAAATAGGCAGGAAAAACAGTCCCGAATGTTTATGGATTATGTGGAGGAAAATATAAGAAGAAAAAACATCTTCCTTCAACTTAAAGCGATTTTCTTCGAGCCACGCGATGCCGATTGCCTCAATTAACGATTTCTTTCTCTCCGCCAGAAGATGATGAATATCGGCTAAGTTTGAGTTTAAAAAAAAATGCGCGAGCGCGAAAGTTTTTGAAGGATGAATTGGTTGTAAATTTATGTTTCAATTTATTTCATCTGTTGTTCCTGCCATATACGCGATCTACTCCCTTTGGCAGGGGGAATATAGAATAAATAGCTTAGTCAAACTCAATTTCAACTTTACCCTACTTGAGCCTCCGCCCTCATTTGATATTCATTTGCTATATTGATTAATTATAGCGTATAAAATCCACCATGTCGTATGGATTTCTCCACAGTCCTTTTTGCAAATAAATTCCCCTCGAATTTCCGGTTGTTATCGTGTATACACAAAAGTTCACGGATGATGCCACAAAGGAGTCGAAGGAAAAAGGATATAATTGAAATATATTGTGTAGTAATCAGATTGAATGATGCTAATTAGCACAACGTTAATTTGCTTATTAGTTTAATTTAACATAATTAAGGCGAATGCTGAAGTCTGACAGGGTAGCTAAGCAAGCATAAGGACGCGTTTATTGGTTTCTTCCATATCTGGCTAATTCATTTACTTTACAAATTATTCAAAGCCGAGGCGACGCATCATTTTCATTCCTTAGAAGGACTCACCAAAAAAAAAATAGTTCACCACAAAACTGACAGAGAATAGGAAAATTATTTAGAGATTTATGAGGTTTTATATGCGGAGAAAATGAAATGAATTAATCAGGACAAACATTGACGTATTAGTAAATTACAGCAAAACCCCATTCTTTTCTGTGCTTCATTATTGAAACGAGAAATTTCCTCTCTTTCCACCACCAGACTGGCAGAAAAATGCTTTGCGAAAGATTCTTTTCTGGCGGAGCAGACAGAATATATTTTACCCGTAAATCTTTGATTCTCTGCACAAGTCAGAAAAGAAGTACCTCTCTTTTGAGGAGGCTTCACGGTCACGTCCATCAAATAAATTTCAAATGTGTGCCAAACTACACAATATCGTGCCGCAGAGAAAGGAGAATGAGAAACTGTTCGGAATAAAGTCGTATGCTCACCAACTGGTGCTCCTACTATACTTCCTACACCCCAGCAATATGAGGAGATTCCCCATTGAAATCGCGCAAATTGAGGATTGCCACAAATTGTGGATCTCTTTTCTCCCTTTCTGGGGAGTTTGGGAATGGAGCACGAGTCCAGACATCGCCCGAATAATATGGATATGGTGGCTTCTGGGAGTGAGTCTAATTGCGTTTTGGTAGAACAGTAAAAGTGTACGTGACGAAAGGAAAATAATATCTAAAAGGGTGTTCGATTGAGGGGCGAGCCATGAAATTATTTCTCTTTACTTCTTATTCTTCTTGCTGCTG